GTCCCTGGCAAGTAATAAGTGCCCAATAAATGTGTCTCACCCCCACCATGAATAATTAAATGAGCATATAAATGCATATGGGTTCCCTACATTTTATTATATTGTGATTAAGTCTTCACAATAATCCATTTCACTAACAAAAGTTGCATTTATTTCCTTTTAAAACTATCCTCCTATCTGCCCACTATGCATCTATAAGCCATTTTACAACACTGAAATATTATCTCTTAATTTAGTAACTTTCTGAATTCCTGCATGGTCCAAGGTGTCTGGGTAACCAAACCAAAAAGAAAAGCAGAACTATAAATGTGTTTAATTCCCTCCTTTCCTCGGGCTCTAGATGAATAACTGCTTGGTAAAACAGCTTTGAAAATTTCAGCCCCTGTTTATAGAATGGGAATTGAAGTTTTTATGCTGTTAATATCCATAAACTAGGTTCATCCTTAAATGCCCCAAGAAAATGACGCAAATGATTAATACATGAAGACCAAAGAGGCAATGTTTGTGATCAAGGAGTGGTCCCTTCAAGAAAGAGTGATGAGTTTACATCAAGGCACTTTATGCCATGCCTCGCTACACTCTGTTGGATTGCATTTATGTCAGCGGTTAAGGCAAAAATAGTTCTCAACTGGGCAGTGTGAAATGGGGGCTGTCCGCTGCAACTTTGACAATATAAATGCAACACTGAAATGAAATTTCAGTTATAACCAATACATCAGACAGATCTGGCGCAACACTAAAAATAGTGGACCTACAACACAGAATCAGTGTTAAGGACAAGAAGCTATGTGTATGAGAGAGCACCGGTACCCGCCTCCTGAACGCCAGTGTGGCCTCCTGGGAGAAGAGTAGGACCGAGGTGTCTACATGCCTCTCTATGATATGTAGAAAAGTGAGATGGGATTTGGAAGACTCTGGACCTCTTCTAGGTACTACCGAAGTCACTTATGACTTTAACTGGGTCGCTTAGCCTCTCAGTGTGTTCACCATGAAACGGGATGCGGTTATTCTCTCAACAGCGCTGGTTACTGAAATTAAGGGAGAGCTCATCAGAACTTACTATTCTAAAAATGTTTGGGGCTCAACGTGGCTGCTGCAACCCCCGTGTAGCTTCAAAGCTGCTCTCTATTCTGTTTATTCCATTCCATTTATTTATTCCTTCAGAATTGGCTATGAAAACGGCCTCTCTTGGAGTAGGGCATAAACTGCTGGCTTCTCACAGAGGCGCACTGTCCACTCCGTTCTTTCTTCCCTTTGCCTTCGTTAAATAAATGCGTCCTGAGCGCCTACCACGCCTAGGCCCTCTGCTACGTTTTGAAAATGCACTCCCTGTCCTTAGAGATGTGTATTGCTTGTGCACAGGCCAAAGACACCCACTGCTCAGAAGCTTCTATTGCCACATAGTCATTTTACTTCCAAATTTTAAGTGGGAAAATTGTCTTTATGGTTTTTCATACAATCGATTTAGTCTTTTTTTTTAAGTTTATTTATTTATTTTGAGAGAGAGAGAGAGCACGAGCAGGGGAGGGGCAGAGAGAAGGGGGGGGAGAGACAGAGAATCCCAAGCAGGCTCTGCACTAACAGTGCAGAGCCTGACATGGGGCTTGAACCCACGAACTGAGAGATCACGACCTGAGCCAAAGCCAAGAGTTGGATGCTTAACCGACTGAGCCACCCAGGCGCCCCTGCAATAGACTTATTCTTAAAAGTTGATATACGTAGGGGAGGAGAGTAGGGAGATGGACAAAATGGGTGAAGGGGAGTGGGAGATACAGGCTTCCATTATGGAATGAGTAAGTCACGGGAACAAAAGGGACAGCATAGAGGATATAGTCGATGGTATTGTAATAGCATTGCATGGTGACAGGTGGTGGGTGGCCGCACTTGTGGTGAGCATAGCATAACAAATAGACCTGTCGAACCACTGTATTTTGCACTTAAACTAACGTAACGCTGTGTGTCAACTATACCTCCGTTTTTAAAAATTTAAAGAAAAAAAATTGATATACACAAAAGCGTAGTTTAACTATAAAGGAGAGTATCCATGTAGAAACTAATCCTATGATATATTCTTTTTTTTTAAAGTTGGCACTTAGCTGCTTAATCTTTGAATACACTTTGAATACACTTCGAAGTGTATTCAGGTACACACAAGTACAACATATTTTATTCATATGAAGAGTCATTTAAAATTATGCTTTTTGATGGTGTTATACATGTATTAAGCATTACATTTAATACCAACAATGGAAACTACCCCAAAACCCCCACAAGAACGGCCTGACTTTTAGCCAGCGGTAAGCTGAAGCGGTTTATGGAAGCTACCAGTATGATGCTATTCCTGGATGAAGACGGAGATGTGACACATAAGCTTGTCAGACATGTTTGTCAGCCTGTCTATGGAGCTACAGCTCCATTTATGCAACTTATCGCCATAGTGAGTTTGTGTCTCCTCATGGAAAATACTCATATTTTCCCAAATGAGAAAACAGAATTTACTTTAAAGAAAAAAAAAAAAAAAGGCCAGGGGCACCTGAGTGGCTCAGTTGGTTAAGCACCTGACTGCAGTCCAGGCCATGATCTCACATTGCATGAGTTCGAGCCCCACATTAGGCTCTGTGCTGCCTGCCAGCTTGGAGCCTGCTTTGGATTCTATGCCTCCCTGTCTCTGCTCCTCCTCCTGCTCGTGCTCTCTCTCTCAAAAATAAATAAGAATTTTTAAAAAGGCCAGAATCCGTGTTTATTGTTATGAAATAGTAAACTCCTGAGGCCTCACACAGTTCCTGACGTATACAAGGTGCTTATTTTTTTTATGTTATTATTATTATATATATATATATATTTTTTTTTTGAGAGAGAGAGAAAGAGAGCAGGGAAGGGGCAGAGAGAGACAAAGAGAGAATCCCAAGCAGACTCTGCTCTCCAAGTGCAGAGCCCAATGCGGGGCTCAATCCCACCAACTGTGAGCTCGTGACCTGCACCAAAATCAAGAGTTGGAGGCTTAACCGACTGAGCCACCCAGGCGCCCCTACACGGTGCTTATTTAATCCCTCTCTTTGTTGAGTGAATGAATAAGGAGTCCATCAGAAACAATCTTCTACTATCTTCTACTAACAACTGTTCACTCCAGAAAATGAGCCTTTGAAGGAGACAATGAATATAGATGTTTAAGCAAAGGCCTTTGTGTGAGCCAAAGATACACTAACTTGAAAAATGATTAAGAGCAAGCCTCAGAGCCTAGACCACCCCACTCCTGGATTCTCTTGACCTCTCTGTACCATGTTCTTATCTATTAAACGGTGCACTTGCTCCCTACTTGATAGCATGGTTGACAAGATTAAATGAGTTGGTATACGCAGAGTGCCTAGAACTGATTATGAACCCTAACAAGTGTTCATTATTATGATGATTGCTATTTATCTTACATATAGAGCCTCATGAAATATTTTAACTCAAGCTGTACCGCACACAATTACGGCACTTGGGTAGGAAACCAAGGGATGCTGTTCTCAAACACACGCAGGTACTGTTAGTGAAACTGAGGCAATGCAGGGCTTTATTGACGTATCTCACTATCTTTATACAAAGTCCTCATCCATCTTTACCTTGTGAAAACCTGAGTGGTAAGAGGCAGGCCCTCATCTCGGGACGCATTCCACCGGCGCCTTTTACACTTGGCTTAAGCCTCACTCTTCATACCTAATTGACTGAGAAATGAGCCTCTCTGACTTTGGATGTGGTGAGCAGTTTTAGACTAATTTTCTTCAGTTCCTGATGAGACATTCATAGCACATTAACATCAGGCATTACTTTTATTGATGTTATTGCTGTAACATGGAACAATTTATTATAGCAAATAAAGTGGAACAGCCTCGCAGAAGAATGGGGTATAGGACAACATCCTAAAACTCTGACAGCTCAGCCAATCAGATGCCAGAGCGCGAACCCTCTAACACGGCCCGGCTGCCTTCCAAGCCAGAGAGCCCCGGCTGCCTGTCATGCGCGGTTGTCAGTCAAGTCACGTTGATATGGGTGTTTTCTTTTGCTGTTTTACTACAGTTTGTATCTAGTTTGTACCAGGCATGGAGATAAGCAATTTATGTGTGTTCTTACATTATTAATCCTCAAAGTGGCCCTGTGGCGTCAATGCCCATTTTCTAGAATAGAAAGGCTCAGCTGGGTAACCTGCCCAAGACCCAGAACTCATCAGGGCCACACGGGATTCAAACCCATTCTGTCTGACTTCACATGGGTTTTGCTGCCACACCACCACCCATCGCTGCCTCCACCTGATTGATGACCCTTCCCGCATCCTATATCAGAAACGCAAAAGACAGCGTTTTGTGGGTGGAGTTAATTTGTTGGCTTTCTTTTTTAGTTGAGACTGAATTGTTTTCAGGAACAAAGCCTTGCTTTTTTTATTTATAAAATCGTAAAGCAGCCTTTATGACAAGCACAACAAATCTGTCATTTTCCCCTTAAGTCTTAAACGTATTTAAAGAGAATGGCTCAAGTTTTTTGCCAACTTTGCAATAAAAATTCTACTCACTGCTCCATTTCAAATCAAATAACTTGTTTTACTTGCCAGGTATCATATATACAGTTGCAAGTAAAGCTGAATGAGTGTGTGTGTGTGTGTGTGTGTGTGTGTCCAGTGTAGTTTGGACACGTTTCTACTCCCTTTGTGCAAAGTACCTTGACTAGCAGAGTAAGATCCATGAATAGCTAGTTATTATAGAATGTTCTTGGGATGCTTTGTTGAGTCATATTTAATTAGCTCCAGAATTCACAGAGCCTGGAGCCTGTTTCCGATTCTGTGTCTCCCTCTCTCTCTGCCCCTCCCCCGTTCATGCTCTGTCTCTCTCTGTCCCAAAAATAAATAAAAACGTTGAAAAAAAAAAAATTTAAAAAAAATTAGCTCCAGAATTCAGAAGATTTTACCTGTCTTCTAATATAGACAAAAATTTTTAAACAAAAGACAGCGTCATTTTCTACCTCTTCCGACAACTGTTTGAGAAGCAAAGAATGCGTGTTCACTTTAAGAGTCAGTTCTGATAGTGAAGGATGACTAGTGGGTTTAAATCTCCAGAGGTCAAAAGATGATAGCTTGAACGCTGGCATTTAGCTCTGTTCCCACCCCATACCGTTTTTAAATGACAGTATAAGATTTTTCAAAAGGCACAAACCCAAAAGGAGAAGGGGAAAATAGTTAACGGCAACCAAATTTGTTTTTTGGGTTTTTAAATATATTTTTTTAATGTTTATTTATCTTTGAGAGGGAGAGAGAGAGAGACAGAGCATGAGTGGCAGAAGGGCAGAGAGAGAGAGACACACAGAATCCAAAGCAGGCTCCAGGCTCTGAGCTGTCAGCACAGAGCCGGAAGTCAGATGCTCAACGGACTGAGCCACTCAGGCGCCCCAACAGCAACCAAATTTGGAAGTGGCAGAGAAGATGGAGCAAGATGAATTTATAGAAGCAGAAGGGAAAGCTGACAGGGAACCTGGTTTGCATTCAAAACTCCCAACAAAAGCAAGACAGTGGAGTCAGGAACTTCCAGCAGTGAGAGTGATGGTAGAGGGGAGACAGGAGGAATGGTGGGAAGTCTGTTAATTATTCCTAGATGCCTTCCCCCAGCCAGCACAGCCAGAACCTAGGTCCATTCTCTGGAAAGCATGACATGGAGGGTCTCCGGACAAGAGAGCCCAGCTGAGTGTAGCAGTACCACTCTAAAAACAGGTGAGGGGAAAGTGTATATACCGACTATATATAGGGAAAGTGTATATACCGAATATATATAGGGAAAGTGTATATACCTAAGACTGCCAGCCTTCTTCCCCTCCGAAGGCTCAAACAAGCCAGGCGGCCAGGCTTAATACCCTCAAAGTGGGAGAAAGAATCAGGGCCATGTGACCCAAAGAAACAGCCTGGCCTGAACTATCCAGGGAAGACCACAGGTACACCCAGCTTTCAAACAGCCTTTTAGGGGTGCTCTCCTTAATGTGAACAGACAGCTATGAAAAAGCAGACACCTGAGGAAAGAATCTAATATGCAAGACTGTAACCAGAAACAAAAAAGAAAAACAGAAGCTGCACATTCAGGAAGGAGAAAACTTTAACAAGGAAAAAGCTCTCATTAACATTAGTGACAACCTGTGATGTTGTATCCTTGGGAGGCAGGAGACGATTACTAATATAACATAACACACTGAGGGGGACAAAGAGCTCTCGGAGCATAATGTGGCAGAAATTAAAATATTGGAAAATGAAGCTGAGGGAAAAGTCCAGAAATGAGAACAAAACAAATAAATGAGGAATCTACACTACAGAAGAATTATTCAGGCTGAGTCCAAACGACACAAAATCCAAAGAATAGCCATTACAGAATGAAAGAGGGGAGAAGTAAACTAAGTGTTATTAGTTTACTAATGTCATTAGTGTTAAGAAATAAACTAAAGCACATTAAACATTTTAAGCGTTTATTTGAGCAAAAATAGGTTCAAGTCAGGGAGTGCCAAACTGGAAGTGGTTAGGGGCACTCTACCCACAGGAGCCTGGGGAGGACACATAAAGGAAGTGCAGATACAAAGAAAGGAGATTATTGGTTGGATGTAGCCGAAAGCCCAGTTGGCTGTTTGTGATTGGTTTTCCTTAGCTTTTTGATTGTGTAACCTTAAGACATTGACAGGCTGAGATTTTGGTTTGCTTCTATAGGCCAGCACAGCATTAGAGCCACCTCAGTCTAATGGCCTCCATGTTTAATAAGTGTAACAAAAGTCAAGAGAACATCTATCTGGGTTCGCAGGGTCTGTGGGAAGGAAGTTCCCAAGATCTGGGTAGCAACCCTAGGAAGCAAACAGCCCAGACAGGTTGTGAACCTTTGCTAGAATCCCTCATCTGATTATATAGTGTATATAGTATATATAGTATATATATATACATATATATGTAGTATATATAATATATAGTATATATATAGTATATATAGTATATAGCGTGTATATATATAGTATACATAATATATAGTATATACATAGTATATATAGTATATATAGTATACTATATATAATAGTATATATGTACTATACATATATAGTATATATAGTATATATTGTATAATATATATAGTATATATATATATATATATATAGTGTGTGTGTGTATATATATATATGTTTAGTTGTTTAATGTTTATTTGTTTTTGAGAGAGAGAGACAGGAGCATGAGCAGGGGAAGGGCAGAGAGAGGGAGACACAGAATCCGAAGCAGGCTCCAGGCTCCGAGCTGTCAGCCCAGAGCCTGATGCGGGGCTCGAACCCACAAATCGTGAGATCATGACCTGAGCCGAAGTCTGATGCTTAAACGACTAAACCACCCACGTACCCCTGATTTTACATATTAAGAGGAGCTTTATATAATCTGGGAAATCTGAGGAGTTGGATTCATGATAAAGCCAAGAAAACTAAGCAAACAAAGACACCAAGACAACAGACGACTACAGGGAAAACATGTCCTATGAAAAGGCATGGTATGCGACATGACTTGTCTGTGAGTACTGTTTACATAGTCTGAGGAAAATACCGATCTTATGAAAAATTAAGACAAAACTGTGTTGGAAGAATGGGGGGAGCCCACAGGACAAGCAACATATATGAGTGTGGTGTTGGTATAGAGCGGGAGAGAACGAACTCCCCATCTTTCATAATAGAAGGTCAATGACTAGCCCTGAAACGTAATGAAATAGTAACAGTTGTATGTTACTTACCAATAGAGCAACAGCCAAAAGTTGCACCTGGGGAAGTCGGAAGTAAAGGGCTGCTCTTGCAGAAATCTGACACGTATAATTTTGATATAAAAAGTAAAAAATAGAAACGCAGATTTTTGAGAAGCAACAGAGTAGGTAGTGTCCTCTTGAGGATCAAGAATGTACGTCTGTGGGCAGCATGGAAATGTCGGTCATTGTCATGTTATACAAACAGGTACTTGTGATTTAGGATAAAATTTCTAGGGACCTCCCCTTGTTGGATTGCGAAACAGCTGTCATTGCTCTTTCTCTTTTGTCCCAGGCTTTTAGTTCTGCACATGTGACCAATTGATACTGAGATTTCAAGCCCTTGTGAGAGCATTTTGGCGTTTTCAGAACTTTAATAACCATGTGTTACCCTTGTTTGCTAGGCCACACCCCTGACCCATTTAGTGTAACCTCCCCACCATATGATGTGCTTGTATGACCTTCCCAGTTGGAATCACTTGGCGGAAAAGAGAGCTTCGTGCCTAAGAACTTCATGAGATTTAACCGGCCCTGCCTCTCCTTGCTATCCAACTTCTCTGGGGTTTCATGGCCAGTGGCCAGAGCAGAGCTATCTAACTCAGAGTTGGTGTTCAATAAGTATGTTTTAAACAAATGATCCTGTGGAGATCTCCAATCAAATTGGAAGCACTGAGTGCTGGTGTATTCTCATTCAAAGGGTCACAAATTCCGAAGCCCTCAGGGGTGAGGCAAGTCAGTGAATGAGACCCATCCAAGTGAGGACAGTGACAAATGGGAAATTGCAGGCTCCATCCAAGGGAGGAGTTGGAACATGTCCAGTGTTGATAGATAATCATTAGAGTGAACGCTCACGTCCACTTGCTTATGCACTGGTCCAGTCGCTTTAATGTAAAAACTCAATCCTTATAAAAAAAAAAAAAAAAAAAAAAACACCCTCTAGGTAAGTACTGTTATTATTCCTCATCACCATTTTGACATGAGAATACTAAGGTACCTAAAGACTATGTCCTCAACTGCACATTGCTAATAAGTGGTACGGCCAGGATTTTAAACCCAAGCATCTGGCTGCCAACTCTTGGCTCTTAATCACTATACCATATTGCCTCCCTAATTTTTTTAAATTTTTTTTTAAAAATTTTTTTTAACGTTTATTTATTTTTGAGACAGAGAGAGACAGAGCATGAATAGGGGAGGGGCAGAGAGAGAGGGAGACACAGAATCTGAAACGGGCTCCAGGCTCTGAGCTGTCAGCACAGAGCCTGACGCGGGGCTCGAACTCACGGACCGTGAGATCATGACCTGAGCCGAAGTCGGACGCTTGACCGACCGAGCCACCCAGGTGCCCCTTAAATTTTTTAAAATATTTATTTTTTTAAGTAATCTCTACACCCAACATGTGGCTCAAACGCACATAACCCCGAGATCGAGAGTCACACGCTCTTCTGACTGAGCCTGCCAAGTGCTCTGCCTTCCTAAATTTTTAAAAGAAGTTACACATGAAATCTACTAACTTTTAAATGCTGGCAACTAATCTAGCTTTTTAAAGCATCACAAGGCAAGCAAAGGATGCTTGGTTTGTGACTTCTTCTCAAAGAGTGGAGAATTAAAACATGGTACAGTAAAACCTTGGTTTGTGAGCATAATTCATTCCGGAAACATGCTTGTAATCCAAAGCACTTGTATATCAAAGCGAATTTTCCCATAAAAAATAATGGAAACTCAGATGATTCGTTCCACAACCCCAAAATATTCATATAAAAATGACTACAGTACTGTAATATAATACCAAATAGTAAAGAAAATACAAAATATAAAGAAAAATAAACAAATTAACCTGCAATTACCTTTGAAAACCTTCGTGGCTGGTGTGAGGGGAGACAAGAGAGAGGAGGGTTATTGTGTAGGACGACTTTCACTATCACTAGCAGAATCATTGCTATCTGTTGGCTCAATGGGACCTTTTTCTTTCCATGCAACTTTAACAAGGAAGCTATCCGATGACCTAGAATGAAGCAAAACATTCCTAAGCTTACTCTTGAATGGGAAAGTAAAGGACTGTCCATAGTTGCTTTGAAATGACAAAAAAATACACTCGTGCCAGTTGTGGGCACCTTCCAACGTTCTGAAAAATCACTGCTATCTGCCAAACACCGCAGCCTGAGACCAAGCATCCGAGCATGGGAGGTGATCACCCATAATCCTGCAGCAAGAGAGAGAGAGAGAGAGAGAACCACCATTGGCTCACTTGTGATCACCTGACGTTCGGTGTCACATCCTACTCGAATTGTGAGACATCGCCCGTTTATCAAGTTAAAACGTATTAGAAATGTGTGCTCGTCTTGCAGAACACTCGCGGAACAAGTTACTCACAATCCAAGGTTTTACTATACTAGGGTGTGCAAACAATGACTGGGCTCCCAGAGCCACATTCATTTAATATGCCTGCTAGGCATAGTAGTGACGGTGACAGGAGCTCGTACAGATTTGGACCCACTTCTGGGTTCGGCTCTATGACTCCAGTGAGCCTCTACCCTGATGAATTTTGCAAGCCTCAGCTATGGTCTTGGTTAAAAGAAAAAGAGAAGAATCTAGTAAACATGAGAATGGCCACCATATGTGCCTACACACCATGATGACTTTCAAGCCTCTCTGCAAAGCTGTGTGGGTTTGTCCAGGAGGTCCCAGTGCTAGTTTCCTCTGCTGCAAAGATGACAGAGATGGGTTTGGTGTAGTTTGTTGTCTCCACTATTGTTTCATATCAGACCATTTCAGTGGAACATGGATTTTATTAAAAACCAAGGGAAACATTGAATGCTCTACGATGTTACTACAGCTCAGCAAAATACAGTGTAAATTCATCGGCAGATGCTAGAAAAGTTGTATTTTCTGGTGATAACAAAGTTTTTGTTTTTGTGCCCTATGCCCAAAACAATTTGCAGTTGTGAAATATGACATGTGTAAAAATGCTCAATATTTCTATTTCTCTAGCGGAATTATATCAGATCATTGAGTGGAGGTTTAAATTATGAATTAATTGTAGTGAATAGAATGTTTTGCATACTTTGCTAGAAGCTAAGAGTAACGATTGAATGAAGTCCCATTAACATTTACTATGGACTAATTTAGACAGCGGGTAAGGTATTGGTATATGTGTTTGCTTTTTTTTCAATGTTGTGTTGAGATATTAAACCATCTGTTCCTGAGTATAAACATTTTCCTGGGATTCAGATGGGATTATGGGATCTGATATGGTTCTATGATTATTATGGGGTGATCAGCCTGTTTATAATAAAATCTTACTTTAGGGGCCTTTTAATGATCCTTAAAAGGAAATCACAACATACCTCAAACTGGTAAAACCTCTTCTCTCGGAGGCGAATTGTTGTTTTTTTTTAAATGTCGGTATGGGTTATTTTAATTATCAGTCTCCTACATTAAATGTAAACCTTCTAGATCAAGCTGGTATTTTTGTACTTATGTGAGCTGTAGTTCATTTTCAGGATTAAATCTAAGGTAGACTCAATACCAAATGTATTGAGTCTCATCAAATGGAAACATCCCTAAGAGAAGTTATAAAGCCCAAAACTGACCACTGTGCAGGATAATGGAATAATCTGTAAACTCGATAAAAGGTACATGTATATATTTAGAATATGCATATGTATAAACATGTAATTAAGTCACACCAAATATTGACTATTCTCAGTAAAACAAAATAGTCACATTCCAGAACATTTCAGAGCATTCTAGGTGTGAATGTGTGAGCAAAATTTTAAGATTTACTGTCTATCTAGCAAAAGATTTCCTTCTGAAAAAAAGAAGAACTTTAAATCAGTGAATCTCATCCACTTTCCAGCCCCATCCACTGGAGTAATATGGCATGGTCCCATAAAAAGTGCTGTCTCCTCACCAAAAAGAAGGGAAGGGAGAAGGGAGCCCATGTGAATACCCCTAAGGGGAGCCCCCAGTTGTGTCTGATACTCTCCAGTTGGGGTGCTCACCTTTCACCTTTCTCTTGGGAATCACAGGTTGAAATAGATTGAAACCTGATGGGAAGTTCTGCAGTTGCTTTCTCCAACTGCAAATTTAAAATGACTTTGTTTTGGGGCTCCTGGGTGGCTCAGATGGTTAAGCGTCCAACTTTGGCTCAGGTCATGATCTCACGGGTCATGAGTTCAAGCCCCGTGTTGGGCTCTGTGCTGACAAGCTCGGAGCCTAGAGCCTGCAATGGATTCCATGTCTCCCTCTCTCTGCCCTTTCCCCAGCCCACACTCTGTCTCTCTCTCTCTGTCTCTCTCAAAAATAAACAGTAAAAAAAATTTTTTAATGGCTTGGCTTTTGTTTTTAAGTTTGTAAATACTTCAACACAAATACCTTTATATCAAGAAGGTGTAATGTGCACATTTTCTAATCTGTTTGCTGAGCAGCTTTGCTTTGCATACAAACTGTACCTGCATTAACCATTGCTACAAACTGGAAATGTACAGTGTGGGTGAATCATGGGTATAAAGATGTGACTATTCTAAATCTATTATTACAGCACCATCCAGCAGAAAACCAGGAGATCCCCTTGTCATATCAGATATCAAGAAAGGCAGTGTGGCACACAGGTAAGGAAAATGAATTTTCTGGTTCATTCCAAGGCATTTCTTTTTTTTCTTTTTCCTCTTTTTTAAGTAAACTCTATCCCCAATGTGGGGCTCGAACTCATGACCCCAAGATCAAGAGTCACATGCTCTAACGACTGAGGCAGCTGGGTGTAAGGCTTCCTTAATTAAAGTAGAAGTGACCCTTTCCACACCCAAGGTAGACCTTCCTAATGAATCATTTTCCAGACAGCCACTATTAATTGATTATATTCAACATTTCTCATGCAATGACTGTGTAGCTCTCCCACCTTATTTATTTATTTTTGTACCCACTGTAGACAATAATCATCTGAAAATATTTGTTAGGGTCCTTCCCGAATCTATCATAGGCTCTCCTTCACTGACTATCTTCATTTTCCAGCTAAGAAACTGGAAGTGGTCCTACTCGTGGTCCCAATTATAAAACACCCCACATAGAGATAATAGCTTGTGGGAGAGCTTTGTGAGATGCCCAAATGTCCTCCCTAGCCAAGCCAGATCCCTGAGCCTAGAACAGTGTCCTATTTGGCCCATATACCTTTAAACTCAGGGAGTCTCAAACTTTCAGTGTCACAGATCAAAATATTTTTAAATGTTTGGGAATATTTATATAAGACTTAACTTTCTATTGTCCAATTAAGATTAAAAAAAAAAAAAGAAACCCTTCTATTATCACAGTCATTTCATTAAAGAAATACTCTAATGCTCAAAAAGCAGGAAGGACATTGTACGGGTTTAGGTATATCGGGATAGGCTCAGATGCCATGACAGGGAGGCTCATAAACAGACTGGGTCAAACAAGACTGCACTGTATCTCATGTGACAGCTGGGAGGCAGGCAGGCAGTGCAGGACTAGGGCAGCAATCCTGCCATCCTCACCAGCTTGCTCCCGTCATTGCGGCTTTCTAGCCATGAAAGGGAAGTGAGAGTGGTGTCGAGGGAGTCTGGGACATGCATCTTCAAGGAGCGACCCAGAAGAAGAGAGAGGAAATTCGATGCAGGAAAGCAGTTAGCAATCTCTGCCACAGACATAATGCATGAAAGATAGTCCTTCCCAAAACATAACCTTCCTTACAAATATGTATGTGTGTGCATATATGCACAAACACGTATCCATTCTCATTATTTTTCTTATTTCATGATGGACCTTAAATATTTTCAACAGACCTGCAGAGGTCCATGGCCAGTGTGAGACTCTCAGTGGCCACCTCGCAGATAGGTAGCATCAGATTCACCCTTTCTCCCAATGGCAGCCACAGTGTGTTTCCCGGGACAGGTGGAAAGGGCAGGGACACCAAGACTCTGACATCCACTAAGTCTCGCCCACCATCTCTCAGCCCTCTCCTAGTACCTGGAATTGCCCAGGAAGAAAAAGGAGTGCACCGATGCGGAGAAGCACGAGGACTCCCAGTGTCTGTAAACCCTGCCCCTTCACCTCCCTTCCTGGGAAACTTAGAATTCCTGAGGGAAGCTTATATAGCTGTCCTCGACGACTTGAAGAAACCACTTAAGAAAAATGTTTTTAATACTCTGAAATTTGGTGTCATGGCAGCCATCCAAAACAAGACTGGAAAAAAAGGGATTTGTTCATAAAATGCAATTTAAAAATAGCTGGAGGACGTCTTTCCCTCTAAAGACTGCCATTACTGCCACACTTTTCTTAATGCCTCTTAAATGACCAGGGTAAGTGCTCATTCATCATGTGTCGCTGTGCATTTACTAACAGGACTGGCACCCTGGAACTGGGGGATAAATTACTTGCGATAGATAACATCCGGCTGGACAACTGTTCTATGGAAGATGCGGTTCAGATCCTCCAGCAATGTGAAGACTTGGTGAAGCTCAAAATCCGCAAAGATGAAGATAATTCAGGTATTGATAGCCTTCTTAGTTACGACTGACTTCTCTAACTGCCCGTCTGTCACAAAAGATATGACATCTTGATGTTTTACATGCGACAGCTGGCTAGTGACTTTGCAGTAGTCTTACATAGTTAAAGGGGTCTTTCAATTGTGTGTTAAGAGGGTACTATGAATTTTCAATAGGGGGGCTTTTAAATTGTACAGTTAAGATGTTTATTATACAACATTATTGCTGCTGTATCAAAGCAATGTTTAAAAATGAAAACTAGGGGCGCCTGGGTGGCGCAGTCGGTTAAGCGTCCGACTTCAGCCAGGTCACGATCTCGCGGTCCGTGAGTTCGAGCCCCGCGTCAGGCTCTGGGCTGATGGCTCAGAGCTTGGAGCGTGTTTCCGATTCTGTGTCTCCCTCTCTCTCTGCCCCTCCCCGTTCATGCTCTGTCTCTCTCTGTCCCAAAAATAAATAAACGTTGAAAAAAAAATTTTTTTTAAATGAAAACTAAAGCATCACCCAATACTACCCTAACACAATGGAACTAGTCATTTTCTAGTTGATATTTGTATTACATAATCAGTGTGTGTTACACCTTCATAAGCACATTACCCACTTTTCAAACACTTAATATCTACCATTGTCTGTAATTTATTTATCATTTTTCTCTTCTTACTTAGATGGCTTCCAGTTATTGTAGATAGTACAATCACAGACATCTTTACGTATGGATATCTTTACTCAACTCTTCTTCTTCTTTTGAGTTATTCCCTTAGGAAATATTTTTAGAAGTAGAACGGCTGAGTAAGAGTAAAAAGGAACTTCTCATGATTCCTGATGGGTCTTGTATCATATTGTTTTCTTTTTTTTTCTTTAATTATTTTTAATTCTCAAGTTACTTAATATACAGTGTAGTCTTGGCTTCAAGAGTAGAGCCCAGTGATTCATCTCTTACATATAACACCCAGTGTTCATCTCAACAAGCACCCTCCTTATTGCCCATCACCCACTTACCCCACCCCACCCCCCAACAACCCTCAGTTTGTTCTCTGTATTTAAGAATCTCTTATAAGGGCACCTGGGTGGCTCAGTCAGTTAAGCATCAGACTTCGGCTCAGGTCATGATCTCACAGTTCATGGACTCGAGCTCCACGTCGGGCTCTGTGTTGACAGCTCAGAGCCTGGAGCCTGCTTTGGATTCTGTGTCTCCCTCT